ATTGTTGTTGCATGCATTTTCTGCTTTCTTTGTTTTTGCAGAGAAATACGATTTAATGAATGATTTAATGAGCTTTGGACTCCACAGAATATGGAAAGACCATTTCGTTCAACTTGTCAACTTCCCGCCTCTTCGCACCCACAAGACCCCTCAGGGGGCCCCTCAGGGGGCCCCTCAGGGGGCCCCCACAGGAGGTGCAGAGGTACATGCATCTGAAGGGGGCCCCCAGGGGGCCCCCCAAGCTGCTGAGGCGTTTACAGTGTTGGATTTAGCTGGGGGTACTGGAGATATTGCCTTTCGGTTGATAGACAGGGCCCTGATGCAGCTTACCCAGTCAGAGCAGCAGCAGCAGCAGCAGCAGCAGCAGCAGCAGCAGCAACAGCAGCAGCAACAGGAACAGCAGCAGCAAGGGCAAGACCAGCAGCAAGTACTGGGTTGCAGCGGTGTTGAGGTAACAGTGTGCGATATAAATGAACAAATGCTGCAAGTGGGAATGCAGAGAGCAGCAGAGCGGGGCCTTCCTGCTGCTCCTTTAATAGACATGATGCGCCCCAGCAACAGCAGCAGCAGCAGCAGCAGCAGCAGCAGCGGGGTTTTGCTGCCTCGACCGGAGGACTTTGGGCGTGTGGGGCCTGTTGGTTTACGTTGGGTGCGCGGAAGCGGTGAATGTCTGCCCTTTGCTTCTTCTTCATTTGATTTGCTAACAATTGCATTTGGCCTGCGTAACTTCGCGAATATAGAAAGGGGTTTAAGTGAGGCTGCGCGTGTATTGAAGCCCGGGGGTCGTCTGTTATGTTTGGAGTTTACCCCCGTAGACACCCCAGTGATAAAGCCTCTATATGATTTGTTTTCCTTTACTGCATTACCTTTGTTAGGGCATTTTGTTGCTGGGGATCGTGATGCTTATCAATATCTCGCAGAGTCTATTCGTCGCTTCCCTGCTGCAGAGCATTTAGGGCATATGCTGCAGCAGCAGGGATTTATTCATGTCTCCTACAGCACCATGACGTGTGGTGTGGTTGCAATACACTGCGCGCATAAGAAACCCTAAAAATATCCCCCCTACCTAAGTTTAATATACTCGGCTACCTACTGCGTTCATGAAAGCCTCCTTCAACGCTGCTGCTGTTGAGGCGCCTGCTATTTGCATTAGCTGCTACCGGCATCAGCTGCTGCTGCACTTGCTGATGCTGAAGTACCTCCTGCTGCAGTCGCTGCTGCTGCTGTTGCTGCTGCACCAACTGCTTCTGCGCTTGCTGCTGCTGCACTATGCAGCAGCTGCAATATATCCCATACGGGAGGATCATCGACTGGCTGTGCAGCAGCATCAACCGCAGGGGGGCCCTGGAAGGCCCCCGTCTGGCGAGAAGTACAATGGGGGCCCCTCAAGGTCACAGCAAACTCTGGGGGGCTCCAGTGACCCTCTTTTTTGTGATTTGCTTGTGCTTTTCTTTGTCCCCGCTGTACGTACACCGGAAAAACTTGCGTTCTTATCTCGCCAGAGAGATAACGCTTCGTGTCTAGAGAAAGTCAAATATCTCCAGGAAGCAACAAAAAATGGGAAGATTTATTTAAATATTTTCTATTAAGGCTGTCACTTTATTATTGGGAACTCTACAAATAAAAACAATTATAAAGACTCCGCCAAGATCGCAGCTACTACTCGGCATGCCTCCCCCGATGGAAGCACCGTGAGGCGTTGTAAAAACTTGTGGTGTAGGTACACCCCACAAACTGAGGTGTATGTGCACCTCAGTTTAACATTGTGGAGACTCCCATGGAACCTAGAGAGGGCTGCGAGCAAAGGAAACAATGCAAGAAAAACAAGCAAAGAGATTGGACTGTATATACACCCCGTATCGGAAGCACAGAACAAGCGGATACACTCAACAGCAGCCACAGCATCACCGCAGCAGCAATGACAGCAGCAAGAACAACAAAGACAGCTCCAGGGAAACTCCCTACCAAGAAAATGGGGGCCCCAGCGGCGATATCGTGAGAGGCTTTCATGAGAGGAAGAGCAGCAGCAGCTGATGCTCCCAGTTGTTTTGTTTGTTTGTATTCTGGCAACTCGCTGGCATCCACAGGCCTCCCCCCCACGTATACACACCCCGTCGAATTAAAGCTATTTCCGTACGTTAGCTGCGGCAAGCACCTCAACGCATAACACCTGTACTTACACATGGATATATATATATATATACATATATATATAGAGAGAGAGAGAGAGAAATATATGCATATATATGCGTATATATCGATGCGCATGTGAGCTCTTGTTAACATGCATTTTAACATGAGCTAATATATATATATATATATATATATATATTATTCTAGTGCATATATGCATAACAGTTATGGTCTGGTGTTGGACTATGAGGGTTTTAGGGCGTTTTAGCGGTTCAGGGTTTAGAGTTTCGAATAAAGATTATTACTTTAGCGTTTAAATCGTGGCGGCACTTCCAGTTAATAAGAAGAAGAGCAACCTGCAGATAGAGGCAGATGAAGCGTCAGCAAGCAGCACATCAACAACTGAACAGAGAAGAGATAAAGAAGCAGCAAGGCGAAGGACGACGCAGCAAACAACAGCAGCAACAAAATGGATGTCAGAGCAAAGCAGCAAGTAAAAAACACCCAAAACAAGCAAAGACGAAAACAGTATACCTGGCAACAGGAAAGGGTAAACACCGGCCGAAACGAAGGACAAACTAAACAAAACAATTGAAAACAGGGTCATGTACAGGTAGGCACAAATGTACACACAAAAGTGAAGGATGTAATCGATATGAAAGGAAAGACAAAATAAACCAAGACTCCTCACCTTCCATATGCATAGGAAGATTGTGAATATTTTCGTTATGTCATGCATGTCGGCTTCAACAGATCCTGACAATACCAAAAATAGAACCACAGCAAAGAGCAAAGAACAAAAAAAAGATAAAGTGGAAAGAAACGCGAGTTTACATCAAAGAGCAAAATGCAAAGGCACGCAGCGAAATGAAACAAAAGGAAAGGAATTGACGTCGGACAGCAAAGCACAATAACACGAAATATAATGAAACGCATTATATTAAAGAACGAAGTGCAATAGGCAAAAGTTAATAGGATATAATGGAGGCAGGACGTCGGGGTCGCTGTAATGGTGGAGGTGAATAGAGCAAAATGAAAAGTTGAAGGAGTGGCAGTGACAAAGAAAGACAGAAAATAGATGAATACTCATTCGAGACTGAGGATACAATTAGGTGACGGACGCAAAGTGCAAAGAGTAAATATATATGCAAGGGAGCAGAAGAGAGGAGGCACATAAGCAGAGATGCATGCTACAGGGCAGGAAGGATATAAACGAGTAAAAAAGGCGCTTGAGATAAGCAGCCCCCATATGGCCTTTTCCGATTTTCACCAGCAGAAAAATCGGAACACGTCATGTAGGGCTGCAACTGAGAAGGCAGAGTGGGGCCAGAAGGAGAAAAAAAAAACATTTTAAAGACAGCAGGAACGGCAGATGCATGTAGAAGCAAAAGAGAGATGCGTCTGTGCATTAACCGAAATTGTGGGTGCATGCATGCACAGCCATAATCGAGATTCGTTGTTTTAATAAAGAGGCACAGGCAAATTAAGGAGAAGTGAGGGACAGAAATGCACCTACCTAGCTTCCACGCGTTGAAATAGACTTTCATCCACGACAAATCGAAGAGGATGCCGCTGCCAGCAAAACAACGAAAAAAGAAAAACCGACAAATGACAGAAAAAAAGCACAAAAGGACAACAGAACACACAATAAGACAGGCAAAGCAAAGTGCGAAAATGTTCTTGAATATTCCGATGGGAAAATAACATGGTAATGTGCGAGAGATGAAGGGGAAGAAGAAGCGGACATTACGCAAGAAATCATCAAGAAGGAATATCGCCCCAATGTCCATCTTATCGGATCTGAGGAAAGCCCAAAGACAAGCAAACTAACACACACTGGTGTTCTTTGCATTTTGTTTGCTGGATTGTTCGTTGGCATGCATATGTGGCGTCGCTACCATTATACTTTTTTCTGTCTGTTGGTGTTTATCTCGTGTCCTGTTTCTTTGCTTTTTTTGTCACTTCATTTCTTTTTCACTTGCTTCTTTAGCTGCTGCGGGCAGATCTAAGGTGCTGCGACGTTATTTGCAATGCAGAAGCTCTAAGCACAAACCAACTTCAAGGCGCCACCATTTCCGGTCTTTCTAAGCAAGTTCCGAGGCGTACTTGGCTACGTTTGTGTTGTTTCTTACTCAAGTTATTCCAAAAAATAAATGCAGCAATGCACTGATCGAGGTAAACGGCGCGAGAATGTCCAGCGACGCTGGAGAGCAACACTGTCAAGGCTACGGCGTATTGGCTTGTCAGCTGCAGGCAGAAAACACAGTGTCAGTTTTCTCCTTTCCTGTCTTCTATTTCAGCAACAAGAGGAATACTAACAAGCAGAAACGGAAAACTAATAGCATCCGTAACTGCAATATGAGCATCATCCAACAGATAGTGCTCCATTTGCATCATCAGCATCCTTGCAATTGTAAACGGATATACATGTCCATTTGGGTTATTTTTGTGTTGCTGCTCTCTGCATCTTCTTCTCTTCCGCTTTTATCTGTTTAATTTTAGTGGAAAAATGGATATTTAAACAGAATGCTCGCGCAAATCAACAAAAGACTCCTCCAGCAGCGATCGGCACAGGCAGATGCAAATGCAGGTAGGAGGACTGACAAAAACTAGGAGATAGCAGAAGACACCAACTGAATGCAACATTCACATTGTATGTCCTTCTACACTTTGAGTGCTTACACACGCGCACACCTGCAGAGTTCCATGGACGTCGGTAGGCTTTTGTGCGCAAGCATCTCAGCACACACGAAAATCAAAACATGGATGCATTGCATATTCATCACATGTGCGCTTAATATCGATGCATACACATGTACGCGTATGAAAGGATATAAGCCAGTGTATACCTAGCAAACCTACCTACGAAGATACATCTGCATATATACGTGCACAGGCATCAAAACCTCAATGCATGTGCGCTTGCGTTTTCAAATCATCTAGGGCAACGATGCAGGCCATCAGGCTCACCAGCCAACCTGGAAGCTTCAGGTACTCTCGAAGATCCTCCATCTGACGCGACAAAACCTCAGGAATCACCTTTACGCAATTCCACATGCCTCCTCCCCCAGAGTCCACTATGCAGAAGGGCCTGTTGAGTTTGTCCAGCTGTTCGCGAAATAGGAGCATCAAAAGAAAAAATAAACGAAAATGAGAGAAAAAGATATGGCCCAAATCCATCAAAAAACGAAACACCGCATATAGGGAAAGACAGCTACAAGAGCATATGAAACAATGCGCACATTAGCTCATCAAAAATATAATCCAGCGAGGTAACAGAAAACACAAGATGCGTAAGTTGAGGAGAAACGAAACGAAAAGGAGGAGGTCGGCGTATACAAGTGCAGAACATGCATGGGTTTTGCTTCAAGACAGATTAAAACGGTAAAAAGCCATCCTGGAGCGTAGCGAAGTGCGAAGCAGAGAAGACGAAAGGCATGCATGTGGAGACGAAACAAAGAGCAAAGGCAGTTTGTTAACAGCGAAACAGAAGGACTAGCCGGTAGTTAGCCAAATACCTGCTTGTCTCCATCAAACTATTGCAAGATATATATATACGCGTTCTCTTCGAAATATACAAACCCAGAGGTGCATATTTATATCCGTGAAACCATGTTGAATGCCAATTCACTTGTACGTATCCATTACAGGCAACATACGTCGGGCAGGAGCCCGGAAAAGCAAGCAAGCAACACAAATGCGCAATCAGAAGACTGTGTCTCATTGTTTTGCCTTGGCTTCCGTGTAGCTCAGCAGCCAAAGCAAAGTAGAACAAAGGCACGCAATTGCAGAGATAGAATACAACATTGAAAAGAAAAGGCAAATGACCAGAAAAACAAACATGCAAAGGAACAAAGACCAGCAAACAGACTGAGAAAAATAAACTTCGATGCAGAAAACGGCTTACTTCTTCTTGGTAGTCCGACAGTTCCCGTATTTTTGCTTCGCGGCGAACTGTGAACTCGTGAAGGTATTGCTCATACAGAGCTCTCTGAGAAAAAAAGAAATAACGAAGAGGGAAACAAACAGAGGAAATGAGAGAAATGAGCTACGAAGGGCTAAGCAACCGGAAGGCCAAGGTGAACACACACCCGGGCACGCATGAACAAGGAAGCATGCCCTTCTTCAAAAATTGATAAAGGTCAGCTTTTCTTTGAAGCAGACCCTTAGCTCTACTATCCAAATATGGGTTTGCTTCCTTTTACCGGATAGCCATGCGTGGAAACGTACTGGCGCGTATACACCCAAACAGAGGTATTTGCATATGTGCATGCATGCACCAACTGACATTTTATGTGCATTTGCGCGTGCACAAACGAAGACATATTAACACGCCTACATATGCTAGAAAACGCAAGTATTCTTCGCCTGTGTATGTGCGCAAGTGTGTACCAATACATGCAGGCGAAAATTCGTGTGAGCATCAAGCATGCGTGCATATACCCTCATTGCACGCAAGTACGTGAATAAAGAGGCCTGCTATGATGGTCTACACAAAAGCATTGGAATCAGCAAGCCAGCGTATATAAAATAAATAAACAAATATATGCGTATTAATAGATACAGCGCACTTACACATGAGCGCAAAGCGAGGCCACTTTACGTCCAAGCTCATAATAATGCAAAAAGACGTGTGCGCGTGTGTGCGTATGCGCGTTTGTATGTACATATGCAAATAACGTTATCTTTGATGCAGATGACGCCTCATTAGACATGCCGAAGCACACGTGCATCTACTACGTGCACACTGTTCGTGGTTCTCATTACGTACAGAGACAAGCAGCTCTTATTTGTAGATTACAGGAACCATGTGCATGCGTGCACACAAGATGTGCAGGGGGGCATTGCCGTAAAAAACGACATATGTACGGAAGCACGTAGAAAGCTAAGAAACCCTCCTCCCTGGAATCCCAGAGAGGTCGCTGGCCTTCAACAAGATGCCCAAGTGCATGCACAAGAGGAAAAAATGCATCTTCTTCCTTTTTACCTTCGAGAATATCCACTGACAGGAAAGAACAATTTCGCCAGCGTGCCCCCAGATCTCCTTCACGAACTCTCTCTTCTTCTGGTCTGCAACAGGCCCAAAGCAGGCAAACTGGAGGAGAGCAGAACGAGTACTAAGGAAAGCATACGCACGACGGCCAGCAATGGTGTAAAATCAGGATAACAATACAAAAAACGGAAGGCCTGTAGAGCTCAGTGAGTAAATGCACTGTGCTGTCTCACCGCTCAGGTCCTGCAAAAGGACAGAACAATCGCCCACGAGTTCTTCTCTGCCGGAGTTTGGGTCCACTTTGATGAGGCACAGACGGAGGTCTCCTTCCCTGCTGCTAATTTCAAATGAAAAAACTTCGTTGTAAAAGCAAACGCCGCGCTCCACGCGAACTGCTGCCGTCTCTATCACTTGTTGCTGACACTCCAGATGCACCTTGAAGATGTCTGTGGAGCGCAAGGCAACGCCCCAAGGACTACTGATTTGGAGTGCTGAGTTGGAGCAGCGGCAACTCAAAATAAACACCTACACTAGCCAACTGGAGAAGCGGGGAAACGCGCAAGCCTCATACGGAAGGTGATGCACATACGAAAAGGCATAGAGACGCAAGCACCATTATAGGGACGGGCGCAGGGAGAGAGACACAGACAGGAGACGAGCGGTGAACACGGCAGGGCAGAAGTAGTGAAATAAACTAGCAAGCCCACGTGAGCCAAATACAACAGAGAGAGATATACAGGTAAGGACATAGAACGAAGTGCGCATATGGACAAAGTACGAAAACAGAGCGAGGCACAAAGAATGAGAGCAGAGACAGCTGCAGGGGAAGGTACCAGAGGGGCGCAGCAAACCACGAGGCAGGAGTAGACCCAGAGTGATAAGGGCAAACAGACGAGAATACAGGGACAAAGACAAATGCAGAAACGACTTGCCTCCTTCCGCGGCGGCCGGGCTTCCAGAGTCCAGGTTCTGGAGACAGGCGACTTGAGCAGTAAGCTTGCTCTCTTCTATCTGGAAGGGAAAAACACATCAAAGCTCTTTTAATATGGGTCATAAAAATGTGACTGCTACTGTCACAATTGCTTTTGTTGCGCAGTAATCAAAGAAGTCGTTCCCGTTAGTTAGTTCTGCAGAAGCTGCTCTTGACTCCGCAGTCCAGCAATTATAGAACACCAAACACTGACGCACTTCAGTTCGATGGGCCGAACTGCTAATGATCTACAAATGCTTCAGAGAAGGAAGTACAGAAGCAGGACAACAGCCAGACGAAGAAGAAAAGAAGACGCATACAGAGGAGGCCCGACAAAAGCCAAAACAAAAGACAAAAGCATAGGCAAAGAAAAGGAAAAAATAATATATTCAAGGAGAAGAGAGAGAAACAACGGCAAGAAAGCCGCCAGACGTGAAGACCGACAAAAGCGTGAGAGAAAGACAAGAGGAGAAGCAAACCCCTTCCCCTTTCCATCGACCATCAAGAGCCGCGACTCACAATGATATATTCAAAGGCCTCCTTACCAAAGAAGCGTTTGGGTCCATCGAAAGGCTAGAGAGATGCGCCTCTGCCTGCTGCAGCATCAACTCCGCCCCGTCCAACTCCCCACGGGCCGATTCCAACACCGCAAGCAGTTCCCGCCGCTGAGGCCAAACAAACCCAGCACCGTATGCGCACTCCTAAAAATAGCTTCAGACGCGAAGGTCTGGTCTGACGATTGAGCCAGACGCGAAGGTCTGGTATGACGATTGAGCGATGTGGCCAGTCTTTGTACTGGCATAATATATATACATATATATAAGCATATGTGTTACAGAAAACATTCGTATATTTCTAGCTATAGATTCTAAGATTAAAAAAGCCTATGCCTTAAAATATGGCAAAAATTAGAATCTACTGGTAGGTGAAGCTGGCGGGTATACCGTTGAAATTCTATTTGCTAATGGATTAGGGACAGACTCTGGGATTCCTGTTAAGGGGTTGGGTTTTAATGTCAGGGCCTGCCGTATATGGGTGGGTTCAAGTACGCTTGGGGCTCAGATGTGTCGTTTCTGTTTCGAATGCCCCCATCGAGTAGCTTTGCTTTGGAGAAAAAGAAGTGTAAGGCTAAAGGAGGAAGAGGACTGACGCGTTTCATGTACGCCTCTATAAAGATGCGGCCGGTTATACATGATTCCCTGAGTCCCCTAAATGACGACAGGGCAGCATAAATGCGTCGCAGCATTTCCTCGTCATAGTGGCGCGCAGATGTCTGAGAAAGGGATGGAAGGGCAAATAAAGACAAGCAGCAGAGGGATACAAGCGCGAAAGTCGGCACTTGCTGGGATGGCGTACATGATAGGACAGCTGAGGAGACCTCTTCCCCGTAAATATAATGCATTGCATGCGCATATTAGATAGACCACAGCAATATTTTGTTAACACAATTTCTACAACAATGCATTATTACACACACAACAGCACATAACAAAGCAACGAGCCTAAACTAATGTTGTTATCCATGATGATGTCGGTATGAATAACCATTCAATAGGATGCTCACGCGCAGACGGGTCAGCAGCTCAGGCAAGGTCACAACAGACTCTGGCAAAATGCCGCATTTCTGAAAGTCGTCGTACAGCAGCCGCCTACGGACACAGATTGCAACATCACAAATTAGATTAAACAAATGGAGGAGCTTATGGAGACTGTATCTACGCTGAATGTGAGGCAAGGCACAGGGAAAGAGCCACAAAGGGAAGATTGCATAATCAAGTACCGCTGCAGCTGCTGTGCTGCTGTCGCTACTGAGAGTGTTGTCGTGCAACTGCTACCGCTGTTTCTGCTGACTTTGTACCTTTCCACTTCCTCCATTGCGTCGCGGCTTTCCTGTACGTTGTCAGGAGGCGCGATGAAGGTATCTTCAATACTCTCATTGGTGCCTACAGACAGCGTACGTAGTAAACAACGTAAATCCTGAGGGCGTCCTGTTACTTGAATCACTGGCGGAAACCGACTGTTTCAAAAGGCTGTGTGCCGCATTTAGAGGTAACTATGGGTGGTGTGCCGCCCCTCCGCGTGGTGCACACATGCAGGAGTAGACCACCCGCTGCCCGTATAACCGCTTGAGCCAATTAAGGGTCCTGCATGATACTACAGCCAGTGAGGATCATATGAGCTGTGCTACTATATATGGAGGAGCAAAGGAGTAGTTGCTCTGTTGCACAGGTGCGGCGCCTGTGGCGCCCAGTGCCAGCTTAAGCAGCACGGAGAGCCGCGCAGGGGGCTGTGCAACGGAAGGAAGTACCCCCAGAAGACAGCAGAACTCACCAAGGGAAAAGGGCTGGAAGAGATAACTCATTTTCCTCTAGTTAGCGTCAGAGGAGCTTCTTTGATGCGGTAGAGAAAATGCCGCGGTCGTGCGGCAGAGGAGGCCGCTGTCTTGTGGGCCTCGGTGGAGTACTTCAGCTGGGTTTGAAGTTCACAACTAGCTCTCCTGCGATTGAAGTCTAAATTATTCAATAAATTTAGACCAGAAAATACAAAGTCGGAGTTGCAATTTCAGCCGCTGACTATGGGAAGGCGGTCGAAGTGGGTTCTTCGGCAGCAACTACACAAAAAAGAACTGAGCACAAGCTCCTCGTGGGAACAGATTCGAACGAAACCTGCAATATTCCTTCACGGACTTGACCTACAAAGGTTATAATGCACTACTTAAAGACTTGGGGCTTCTTAGAGCAAGTACAACTGCTTTTTGCCGCCGCCAGTGTGCCCAGGGTCTCAGGCAGCCCCGAACACCGCTGAAGACTGTACCTTTCTAGAATCATCCAAGAAGCACTCTATGTGCACATATACAATGTTTGCGGTTTTTAATAGGTTAATCCCTCTTCCCTCAACTTCTCTTTGAATTGGAGGCTCACAGGGGTGCTGGGCTCTGCAGCTGCGCCCGTAGGCTGAACCGGTAAACCATTCACTGCGTTGTGTTACAGCTCGTTTTTTTCCCAAAGTTTTGACCTGCTTTTTTATTTTTTTGATACCAGCATTTATGGCATTTTTAAGTGGGGAAAGTAGCTGCACTTTGCCTGGGTTTCCACTGGAAGTTTTGCATAGACACCTGCCAGCGCTGGTTGTTCTTCCGCTGCTGTACTAACAAATAAACAACTCCACGAGTTTTTTCTCTAGATTCACTCACTCCATCTGAACTGTAAATTTAGATTCTCTAGTAGATGGTCCAAATAATAGTTGCTTCCTCTGTCCCATGCAGTCGGTAGGGAACTCCAAGCCACAGCTGAAGATTGGTCTGTAGACAGTTGGTCCGCAAATTGCCTGAAGTTGGTCCGTATATTTCTACTTGGATGCAGGTTAGTTACTGAGGGACAAGCAAGTGTTCAGCAACTTCTTCCAGTGTTATTGCATGCATGGAAACCAGGCTTGGATACGCTTGCATGTGGTTTGGCCCTATAGAAAGAGTTGCAGCGAACTGCGTTGCAACTCAGAAGATGCCATCTGATTTTCGTACTAGCTCCAAGCCTTTGGGCCGCTGCCGACACGATTCCTGGGTGCTGGAAAGGAGGTTAGCTGTATTTTGGGAAATTTCCGATAGTGGTATTTTGACTTGTGCAGGTTTCTAAAACCCTCTGCTCCTTGAGGACCCTCCCCAAAAGTATAAATCAGTTGTAACGTGCCCCAACCTCATCATAGGACCTTTGTGAGCGGCAGCAGATTCAAAAATTGAGAAAATAATTCCCCCCAGGCAGCTGGCCTCCCAACCTTTGCCCAGGTTTCCTGGGCACAGCGACCAAGGGCCCTAGCGCTGATGGGTAGGCTTGAAGCACCTCCTGCTTTGCCTCCTGCAGCAAGGCAACTCCACACGGAAGCATTTGGAATCCGAATTTCAATGCATCCAGTACCGTCAACACTGTGGAAGATCCTCAAGCACATACGTGGCTGTTGCTAATACCCACGCATGTACCAGTACATCGTCCAGCACGGCTAACGCCCCTCCATCTTCGCCGCTTCGCTGGGCTCCAGCAAATGATTTCGCGTGGCGGCAGGAAGAGTGCAAACTAGGCATGCTCGACGAAAAGACCCCTGTCGGGATGGCGGGCGGCGCACCGCAAAAATAAATAGGAATAATCGACAGCAGACACGGAATTTCGCAAATATTAGCTCTTTCTGCCTCCGTCAAAAGCATGCCTTCGCCAGGCAGACACAACTGGGTGGGAAACTGCTCTGCTGACACCCGCTGTGCAGCAACCATGGGTTGAAAGCCACGCTGTACTGTGGAGATCACAACCTAAGCAAGCATACAATATGGGGGGGCGGCAGTGTACAGCATTGAGGAATACCTGACGCGGGGGTCATGCCTGCCAAACAAGATGCAAAGCAGGATGGCTTGTCGGGTGCGGCACCAAGTTAGACTTGGGTACGTTTCACGCTGCAGAGCATTCTCTGATAGTACGTAGAGCCAAAGAACAGCTGGGCATGTAGATAGATATGGATTCATCTTAACCCGTGGCAAAGCAACTGCCTGCAGTAGTTTCAGGCCGCTCAAAGTTATGCTGCCCACGCCGGGGCTTGCGGTGCATCAACGACACCCCGAAGATGCCTGTGCGTAACCGACAATCGGAAACCAACTTTATTCTTGGAGACATGCTTGTCAACGCGGATAGGTCACATTCCAGTCTCTAATCTGACCTATCCGCATTGATACGCATGTCTCCAAGACCAAAGTATGCGTCTGTTGGTCCGTTCTGCAGTGATACTCTTTCCCTTTTCCGATGTGGAAGAAGTATCGGAAATTCGTTGAACCGTCAAGAGCCCTCATTTGTGGTATGATGGCATCTCCATGTAGCGGTTACACCTTCGACATACGGTGGAGCGTTGTTTGCGCAGTAGATGGATCAATACAGGGTAGAACTGGGCCTGCTTGCCCTCTGATGCGCTTTGCATCCACTAAGAACAACACACCGGGGGTGACAGTGATTGCCAAGCATCTCAATAGTTGTTTTCACTTCGGCCTTGAGTTATTTCGCCTCCTTCATACATTCCTAAGCAGGTAAAACGTCTCTCTGGATGGCTCCACTGTTGAAGGACGGGCATAAATGCCAACAGCCAGCTGCAACATCCACGAGGACTGCGCCATGTCAGGTGCACTTTACTCCCGGTATCAATTGAAACTCGCACCTCTTGATTATGAAGGCAAAACTTATTAGGCACAGAGTTTACTCGAGCAGCATGAGCCCTTGTGGCGCTGTCTCCTTCCTGCCCCGCCATTTCCCCGTAAGTGCCGTGGCGGACACAGCGTTTCCATTGCTTCCCTGTTGGCCTTGCTGACGACGGTGCTATAAATACCATTTTCCATTTTCCTAGCTCTTCCCTGCCGATGAATGGTCGAATTGTATTGCCTGAGCTTGTCGCAAAAGAAGCAGAGTCCCCTCTCGGCAAGCATCCCCAAATTCCTGAATACCGGGTTTGTTGCTGCCCGTTATCGCCTTTTGTGACGGAGGCTGGCGCCCAGATCTCCAATACCATGCGCTCTATACCTGGATTATTTTGAATGCCTTGCCATATCTTCACAGCTACTGCGGTAGTTGTGGCGCTCCTTTCCTGCTGTGACGCACGGGCATTTCACCATCTCGGCGACATTCACGCATTCACCCCTTCGCTTCCCCCGCGGCCCAGCTGGTTACAGATTGCCTCCTCCCACGGGACAGTGTTGTGATGAGCTACTCATACAGCGGCTCCGACTCAGCCGTCGGACTTCTGTTGGCCAGTAACTTATATTTCTCGGTGTAGTGTCCCATCAATAGCTTAACTTGTTTTGCGGCAGTTAATAGTGCTGGAGGCCCCCCCACGCCAGGTTCAAAAGGCGAGACAAGTGTCAAGAGGATGTCTTGTATTGCTGGTACGATTAGGGAGCTTAAGTTGTAAGAGGCTAGGCATGTGGCAAGCAGCAGCACCGAATAGGTTAGGAACAGCAGCAACCCGAAGGCAGCAGCAGCTGGCCCCTATAACAGTTGCATGGCCTCGAGCACAACACACGCCAAAGCATCCTCTATTACTCCCGCCCTCTCCCATGTTATAATTTCATACATATTGATAAATTGTATGCGCATCAATTGCCCTTCCTTTGCCCCTTCGCGAGCAGCGTATATTGCCAAGGGTGTCGTTCCCTGAATAGCAGCAAAAGCAGCAGGCGCTGCTTGCCGCGGGCAGCATGAAACGGCAACTAGCTAGCCGCAACTGATGAAGGCGTTGGAAGACCGACAGCAAACTGAGGAATAGCAAGCTAGCTACTCGTTGTTCCATTGTCCATCCCTGGTTGACTGGGCCTAAGACGTCGTGATTGAGATGTGTGTGTGCTATAGTTCAGTGGGTGCATCCATTGACCTAAAGGGTGTGCACGATTACTGTACTTTGCGAGCTTAGGTATGGGAAACAGCCCTACGCCTGTCATTGGAATGTATTGGAATCTGCAAGAAGACTCCAGAGAAGTACAATGAATAGATCGCTGAGGCTATTCATGAGGTAAAGTAGTTCGAATCGATGAGACGCTTCATCGATAACTTCCCTTGTTCAGGTTTTTCCAGTTTTGCCATGGCAAACTATGGCAAAACTGACAAAACCTGGCTTTATGCTCGACTCCCCTGCGGACTCGCGAATAAAGTCAAGCTGCAGCTTATTCGTGAAGGCTGTCATACTCCGCATGAGCTCCGGGGAAATTGGAACCCTTCGTTATTAGTAGGGGAGGCACAAGCAATGCTGGGGACCAATATTATTGTGCCTTCCTTTCTAATGACAAAGATGCCAGTAGAAGCTGTGGCTCTTCGCGAGCACTGTGAAGGCGAAAATACAACTTCAGAGTACCAACAAACTCCTCCACCGAGCCCGCACTTCGGCACCCGTCATGTCTGGGTGGTCAGCAAAGGTATTTATGATGAATTGTTTTTCTTGCTGCAATACCATGTTCCGCTCTTTGGGATACAGATACTGTGCTGGTGTCAGCGCGAATAGGCACCCAACCATTGGTCGCGCCCGCAGTAGACTGTAGATCCTGTTCAAGCTCCATCGTGCAAGAAGAAAAAGCACGGAGGTTCTGATAAATTGGGAGAGTATCTAATTTTTCCTTTTCGAGTTCAGCGCGCCCTCAGCGTTCGTCACTGCTACGCACCAGGCCGCCCTGCTGTCGGATGCAGCTCAGTCCTCTGCCTTGATGAACCATGCTGTGCTATTAAGTGCAACGCGCGTAGGTCACTTAGCCGAGGACTTCCTGGGGACTCTTCCATCCCCAGGCGCCCTGCGTACAGCGCGCGGGGGCCTGGGGTTGCTGCGGAGAGGTGTGGGCCAGTCGTAAGCTGCACCGCACCTCGTTACCACTAACGCTGCGAGGCAGCCCCCCATGCAAGGGCAACCAAGCCCTCTTTGCCGAATCCGCTAACCATGTCGACATTTGTTAAACACGTACCTGGCCTCGTGTAGGCGGCCTGCACGGTAGTACACATGCGTACCAGCACCACTCAAGCCATGTTGGAGAGTATGCAAGAATGGAATGCCCAAAAGGAACTGACCTACCCTCCAGCCCCCATTTGCCCTGGGCACAGCAGCCCAACGGCCTGGGGCTGGTGCGGGAGGAGAGGGCCTCATAATTTGCAGCGCGCCTTGCTGCAACCGGTGCTGGAGGGCAACCCCACATGAAAGGACTACCGGCCCTCCTTTGCTGCACGCGCTAACACTGTAGACAACTATTGAACACTTACTTGGCCGCTTTTAGGCAACCAGCATGCAAGTAGAAGCAGATGTACAGACTTCGGACAGACCATTCTGCGGAATTCGCCGGCGACGAGTCGAAGTAGCCCCTTACCTTACCAAATACAATGGGTCCACGAAGGCTATTGAAAGGCCTTGCATTTTAGTGTTTATAACACCACAAAACCCCCGGAACTAGTTCAATAGGTTGCTAAGGGGGACGCGATGTGACGTAGGACGGAGGCGTTGTTCTCGCAGAGCCCTCAGGCAGCCAAGCGGTCGACCTACCACAGCACGGGAAGCCGTTCATTCTCCACGAAGCATTTTCTTATCTAACGGTTCATATGACCACATTTTATTAGGCATGCTTACATGAAAAATACGGCTTTTTGTTTCAAGACAATGGGGTGCTGACCGCTCCTATCCTTCCCCGTGTGTGACTGATGCCTGCAATGCTGCGCCACGGATTGCCAGAAATATGCACTTCCTTCTTGTGTCTTGGCTGCGGCCTAGGCATTCAGAGTGGGTTTAATTCTTCCTGAGCTGTATCAGACGAATAGCAGTGGCGTTCTCGCCACGTTGTGAGCAGAAGGGATTGGCTTTTCATGTGCCTTTGCTGTTCTACTTGGGAGCCCAAATACAGCGCTGAAGTATATTGCGAGGGTTAGGAGCCCGCCCGCTGCAGGGCCTGCTGCATGCACGCCTTTGTGTGTATCCTCATCTTTTGCGTCCGTGGCCGCTGTTGAGAACACGCTCTCTACGAGCACATCAAGATGAATCCGTCCTGTTCCTGTGTCATGCGAGCTTACCGAAGACTGGCAGCCGCTCAAAGGACCAGAAGCGGTGGTGACTACTATTTTCTTTATCAGAAAAGGCTTTATTCTTCCGCTGCTGCTGCTACAGTGGCAGCCGCTAGACGATCGACTTCCCAACTGTCGAGCCCGCCGCCATCAAGTCGAAGCTGGGATTCGGGACAAAATACGTACAGCTGGAAATATGACTGTTCAATTATCATGGGGGCTTGTGCCGTCGTGGCGGCAGCAGGCGTTGCAACGTCCGTTGCATCCAGAGACAAGTCTGACGCTCGCTGTTGTGGCATTGTAGGGTATATTGGAACGGGAAACGTGGAGCCAGTGCTGATGGAAGGAATTGAAATTCTCCAGAATAGGGGGTATGACAGCTGCGGCATGACAACCATTGCGAATGATGGACAGCTAGTCACAACGAAGTTCGCGAGCAGAGGTACAACCAGCGACTGCATTCAGCTACTGAAGAAGGAAGCCGCCGCTCATCATGGTGGGCATCATATAGGGATTGCCCACACGCGCTGGGCAACTCATGGTGCAAAAACGGACACGAACGCGCATCCGCATATGGACTGGAAAAGGCGCATATCGTTGGTACACAATGGCACCATCGATAATTTCTCACAGTTGAAAAAGGACCTAATAGCCAAGGGTTGTTTGTTTATGACGGAAACGGACTCGGAAGTTATTGCAAATCTCATAGGATACAAGCTCGACCTCGGGCTGTCCTTTGAAGAAGCTGTAGCTGAGAGTGTCTCGCAGCTGCAGGGCACCTGGGGTCTTTGCGTGATTCACAAGGACTTCCCAGATCGCATAGTGCTTGCCCGCAACGGTTCACCACTGCTTGTTGGCAGTAGTGACGGGCAAGTCTTTATAGCATCCGAGCCAGCCGCCTTGGCAAGGCACACCAGCCAATACCTCATGCTGCAGGATGGAGAAATAGCGATCGTCACCAGCAAGGGCATTGATCAGCTCCTGGAGTCACGCGACATGCACCGCATCTCTGCAGAAACGGTAGAAACCTCCCCAGACCCATTTCCCCACTGGACTCTTAAAGAAATATTTGAGCAACCCCAGAGTCTGGCCCGCGCTCTCAACTATGGGGGCCGAATAATGGCCCACGGGAACCGTGTGAAGTTAGGGGGGCTGGACCAAAACAAAGACTTGCTAGCGATCCGCAATCTGCTGCTTGCGGGATGCGGTACGTCATTGTACGCCGGCATGTACGGGGAACAGCTTATGCAATGGCTGGCCTGTTTCGACCAGGTGCGCGCTATAGATGCTACAGAACTGGAGCAGCACTCTCTACCCAAACATGACGCCGGAATTCTCCTGCTCTCCCAATCAGGGGAGACGCTGGATACTATTCGTGCTTGCCAGATTGCTGATGAACATGCAGTGAGGAAGTTTTCAATTGTTAATTCAGTGGGTTCTCTCCTCGCTCGCATGACCTCCTGCGGGGTGTATCTTAACGCCGGCAGAGAAGTTGCTGTCGCGTCGACGAAGGCCTTCACTTCCCAGGTAAGCTGTATAACGTCGAAGTCTTGACAACTGCAATATATTGAATAGCCACTTCTTTTCTTTGACCGGTTCCTCTGCATGAAGAATTAATGCTAGGGCTGCACGCCAGACTATAGTTATATTGTCTGGCGTATATAGTTATATAGTTATCCTGGTTCCCTGCAGTACAGCTGTCTTCGATCCTGTATGCCCACACCAGTATGCAGCAACGTGTTGCAGGCATGCGGTGTGCATGACCGAACTCCTAGGTCCTGCGCTCGTTCTCCAGTGAAGTGGGCGTTACTCGTTTTCTGTTGTGCAGGTGACGGTGCTTGCCCTGGTATCCAGCTGGTTTTGGCAGAACCTGCGGAGCGAAGAGTACTCAGATCGCTGCAGTGCTTTATTGGACGCCCTTCATCGGCTTCCTGTTTATGCGGGTATGACACTGAATGCCCATGGGGCTTGCAAGCGGATTGCAGAGAAGTTGAAGGATGCGCAGACGCTGTTCGTGCTTGGCAAAGGCTTTGGTTACCCTGTTGCTCTCGAAGGTGCCCTGAAGATTAAGGAAATATCGTATATCCACGCAGAAGGGTTTGCTGGCGGAGCGTTGAAACACGGGCCATTTGCTCTGATCGACGACAAAGCACGCACTCCTGTAGTCATGATTGTCCTTGGGGACCAGCACGCAGCACTTATGCTCAACGCTGCTCAGCAGGTGAAGGCTAGAGGTGCGTATCTCATCTGCTTAACTGACTTCCCGGAGCTCGTGCAAGATGTAGCTGACGATTACATTGTTATCCCAAGTAATGGGCCGCTCACGGCACTGCTTGCAGCGATCCCTCTGCAGCTCTTGGCCTACGAACTCTCCGTTGCCAGGGGAATCAATCCGGACAAGCCAAGAGGTCTCGCCAAGACAGTTACAGTCAGTTAGTTTAAGCAGCGACCAGTTTTTAAGGCTCCACAGACGCTTTTTAAGGTGCTTCGCGCAGCGCTGTTATCATGTGAAGTCAATTTGGTGTTCACGCGTGTTGAGTGTGCAACCGCCGAGTCCTCCGAAGTAATCGTATTGTTTCGCAAAAGTCAGGAATAGCAACGTTAGTGTCGCTACGTACACCTTTTTGCTGGGCATAGGCGTGTCTGTGGGTGATAATTTGCCCCCATAGCTAGTCTACGCGGCACTTTGCTTGGAGGAGGGTGCGCCAACGGCAGTTGTGAGCAACGCAAAGTACGGCTCTTGTATTCAGTTGCTCTTCTTTGACTAGCAGATCTGTCAAGGGAATCCATAGGGATTCTAAGGATGATTGCTCCACTGACATTGCATGTATCACCATCCACTCCAACGGTCGGTCACCTGCATCTAGATTCGAATACTTCGAAAGAGACGTTTGACACAATGGAGGAAGAAGGCATGTGGCTGCATTCCCAGCAAGAAACTTCACTGCAGAGGTACAGACCATCAAAAGACGCGTGTTTTCATCGCAGTACAGCGCAAAGGATGCCTGTATTTTGCCTGTGAGTGCGCTCAACGCAAAACACAGCATACCGAGTGGAACATACATTGCTCGTGCAATTCAGCTCGTTTGCCTAGTTACCCACTTTCAGCTGCTGCAGGGCGGATCATAATGGCGGATCACTTTTTATTCGTCTAAATATCTTCGCGATAGGCCCATTAAGCATAAAATGGCTGAACAAAGTGACACTAGACAAGGCAGAACGAAGCACTTTGCTAGTGGATTGCTGAGCGCAGGGGGTAGCCACACTTGCTATAACGCGGAAGATTCTGGATCACACCAGGCTGCGCACACCATTAAGTTCCCGTGCACAAATATGGAATTCACGAAAGCACTGTTTGTATGCCTAAATGGGCGAGGCTGAATGGTACTCACTTTGCAAAGATGGTTTATGAAGGTAGATGGTTACCTAGTTGAGGGTGTGGCTGGGTTGCTGAGGGAAAGGTAGCAGATTGAGCCAATACCTTGTGTGAAACCACGAAAGCAGGTGCTACGCAGTATGCATTCGACAACTAAACTACTGGCAGGCCATCTGACGGGATAATTATGCGGGTTCACCCCGCAGCAGCATGGGCGGATAGCCCAGTTGGAGGCAACATATCTGCTGTGAGCCATCCTGCGGGAGCAAGACCTTTGCTGGCGGCTGAAGATAGTGAAAACAAAGCAAACGCACGGGTGGAGAAAGAAACCAACTGCCCATGAATGAAGGCTAGTGTAAACTCCTCATATCCTTCGCAGGAGTTGCTCGGAGCTCGTGCAGCGAACCCACACGGTTCCTAATACGCCCTCACCTCAAAAGAAACTGGCTTGTTACAATAGGTGTTTAGTGAACAACACGCTAGACAAAAGCATTCATTTGCACGGCGCCGGCAGCAGAGAGGCTCTGCGAACTCTGTACGAGCTGCTGCCGACACAGTCTGTTGAAATACAAACAAAGAAAAGGACGGATTTTGTATCATCTAAAACAAATGAATGCTACAATGTAGTTTACACCTTCACTGGTAAGGGCACGCACCTTGATGAGCATCAACCAGCGGCCTTTGCTTGTGGCCCGTTGTTTAGCGATGGGTGGTTCATGCGGCCGCCGCTTCTACTACGTCTGTCTCTCTTGTCTCTGGGGCAATTAGTATCAAATTACGTATTACTGCAAGTTACAGTGTATTTCAACCCCCGGATGCGACGAAAAAGGTTACGGGCCTTACAAGCCACGGCCTCGGACAGAACACGTTCGGCCCCCCCCCCAACCGCCTTCCTCACCTTCTGTTTCCCGCATTGTCAATCTTGAAAGCGTACTTTCGAAATGCTACCGAGTGCCTGAACAGGGCAATTTTAAAACCTTGGCACGGAGGTGCAACAGCAATGCATTGCTGCTATTCCTCCCGCGCCCTGGACCACCAATACAACAACAGCAATGTCTGGGCCTAGGACGCGGCTGCTCTCTCAAAAGGAGGTTCCTTCTGTAGCGGCCCTTCTACAAAGCGCTGGAGGAGTCGCTGTTGGCCCTATCCTGAATGCTACCAAGTTGAGGGCTCTTCTTCTGGCTGACGGCAATTCAGCCCGGAAATGGAAAGCCTTAGATCTTTCGAACTGTAACATCAGGAAGGTGAGCAGCTGTTCTTCACAAACCGGGCGAACGGTCCGCCTAGAGAGACCAGTATTCTTGTGCTGAGCCTCGAGCACAACCGTGGGTCATTGACTGCTTTCATTCAGATAGAGCTTTCTTTAGGCGAAGTTGCGGCTCTAGATTTCGAATGCCTGACGCAACTTGACATGAATGGCAACCTGCTCGTCTCGCTGGATGGTCATTCGCTACCGTTTCCCCATCTGCAAGCACTGCGAGCGAGCAACTGCCGCATCAACACCATCACTAACTTTGGCTCCCACTTCCGGCTTCGCCAGTTGGACATTAGCGGCAACCAGCTAACAAACGTAATGTAAGAAGGATTAGTGTGAGCTTAGGATGAAGGGACGTCACGCGGCTTGGCAACTGGCAGCTATGCCCATCTGGCAAACAGCAGCTCTGTCCCGGGTGACAACCCTCGAGTGGCGTATTTTGTCTGTGGAGGTGTTGCTGTCCTCCCCGCAGAAATCTTTCCAATACTCCTCTGCGTTTTACGCTTCGTGAGCTGAATTTAGCTAGGAACAAAATAAGGTAAGAGAGGCTGAATGCGAAGCATGAGGTAGATGCATGCAGATAGTAGAACAAGAAAGACGCACTGTTCTGTTCACTTCTCTGCCTTCCACTTGTTCATCTAGCATTATCCGCAGAACCCGTAACTAAACACTAGTGAGAATTCGATTGAACGAGGAGTGGAAGATCTGGTCTGAAGCTGCGTGCACAGTGGGGGTGCGTGGGATGCGATTCTGCCTATTGATATACTAGTTGATGCGGCTCAGCGAATTCAAAGGCCTCGCTCCTTTGAGCACATTCGAGTCCCTCGAGGTCTTGGATTTACGGCAAAACCCTCTATGCAATTTTGGCAACGTTGTAAGTTTGCTTTGCACACACCGCTGCGCTCTGTCGTTTACTCCGTAGCTATGCTCGTTGGCTGACGACTGTCTAGTGGTGAGCTGCCCTGTTATTCAGGCTGAGGGTTTTGCGCTAGTTTGTTGCGCAAATCTTCGCCAGCTTAACGGCCACACAGTCTCACCAGAAGTGAGGGAGGCAGTAGACGCCTGGGCGGCGCATGAAGCGTGCGGCCGCGCCACCGTGGCAACTGTGGAAGCTTTCCGGGAAACGCTTCAACATCCAGATGGTAATTAGGCGCTTTCGTTAAACTCCCTTCTTTTGAGAGTCACTGTTAAAACCATGATGGCGTCATAACTGCATAGTTGTCTGCATGCCTTCATGCTCTATCAGGACCTGCACTTCTGTGCTCAACAAGTCACCAGCCGATGAAGGGACGCTTGAACAGAATGCGACGGGCTAGGGGCGGAGCCGAGTTGCCATATACCAGCACAGTGGATGCTTCCGTGAGTTCGGATGCCGATGTTTGTGATTACGCATGCCTCAAGGGGCATGCACTGAAGGCGGAGGATCGTCGGCATTTCCACTCGTATTCTTGCTTACATTCGGAGTCCAACCAAGGGTTGCGCACCGTCATGAAGCGAGCTGTTTCGCCTACAGCGCATACATGTGCGGACACAGCACGGAAAATACCAGTTAGTGTTGGTTATTCTTCGTCCGACGCGCATACACCTGCAGCAAGTTGCCCTACCCAGCATTGCGAGGGTACTACAGAGGAGTGTCAAGCAGGTACTGCCGGGGACTGCAAACAACGGATTACGGAGTGCCCTTGGTGACATGCGGGAAACTGGGGATAACACTCCTCAGCTTTTGGAACAACGGCGGGTGATGGTAAGGGCAGGCAGCAAACCTGAAGGATTTCCAGGTAACAATGCAAGCTGTCTCCATGCAAAACAGTCCTTCCCACCCAGGACTACCAAAGCACAACGGGACCGGAATTCAGAACGCATAACGTCCACAGAAAGGCAGCTCCGTGTGCGCACAGCAGCTCCAGTGGGGAGAGCTTGAGATGTTGCACTTGCACCCAGATATCTGTTGGGTCGATCCGTCCTCTGAAAATTGCAAACGCCAGCTCCTCTTCAGGAAGCGTCGCGAAGTGTGCCGGCATAAAAGATGAGAAAGATTACTGGAGAAGCAATCCCTCAACTCAACCTGCAGATAGTGTTCCTACCGTGACCCCAAAGGGCAAGCAGGAGAGAGAAGACGGCTCTAATACTACATTAAAGGAAGTGGTTTCAGAGCGAGATGCACGAAATATTGCGTATGTGAAGAGGGGGAGGCGATAGAAGAGGGCTTGCAAGAGCCTTGAACAACCAGAAAGTGCATCCATGTGGGGGGATGAATGAGATACTGTGGGAATTGCGCTTGTTATCACTCCTTGCGAATATGCGAAGCAAGGATGCCACTTGATTTTTAGTTTGCGTGCAAAAGTATCTGCTATGTGAAATTTATTGCCCAAATGCAATGGCTTTTCCCGTTAGCCTGATGAACGAGCTTGGAACAACAAACTGGCTCGTTCCAGAACGCATGTCAAACTGAGCTCAGTCCCAGTTTTGCTCTTTACCGTAGTATACTTTCGTAATAAGGAGCAGTCGGGCCACGATTAGTCATCACGTCAGTCCGACGCGTCAACGGGAATTGGCCTGCCGATGCGGGAAGGACGTGCAAAAGCTGTGTACAGTATGCGGCCGACTCTAGCAGCGGCTCTACGACTTTGTTTTGGCATGTTGCCATTTACAGGGCTGCCTATTGCTCTTTAACAGCGCCCAGCTGCATGCTGCGGCGCTCCGCAGGACAACATACTGGACAGCGACAGTGCTAGTAGCATGTAGATGACCATTGTAATTGGCAGTATTTAAGGCAAGTCAAGTCGATTCGCCTTTGCTGATTGGGTTTCATCGTTTGAATGCATTTCCATCCTGACGGAGCATCGGTTCCTGCGGCCGAGCATCGTTGGTTTCAGAGTTCTACACGCTCAACCACCAGTGCGTAGTATGTCTAGGTCGTTGGTAGCCCCCAGAAATAAACATAGTTCAAAAACGTTTACTACTATGGTAAAAAAGATGAGGGAATTAGGTGCAATTCAGTATGTTGAGATGGATCGGTAAGCAGACCATGGTGGTCGTTGGCGCCGAGGAGACCGCGACCATGCCCAACAACCAGGGCGCTCCTCACTTGACAATTGTCAAACTCGCCAATGTAAATATGTCTTCTTATAAAAAATACGGCTTCTATTTCTCTAGTTTCAAGTAAGCAGCGCTTCACTTTTTCGTAGAAGCCGAAGGCCCGTCCGAGAGCTGCACCGAAACCCAATGAGCTAACTTGCAACGGGGAGTCTCACGTGCGTAGCTTGCCAAGGACTCCCTCCCTTCCCTGCACCCCAGAAGACGAGGATGACAACAATTTGCTCCATTCTTCTTGCTTCCTTTGGCCTCGTTTACGGTGAATACAATGCTGCCGCATTCGCTTCGGAAAGGGCCCCTCCGCTGTTTGGCTCTGCTGGCGAAGGCACCACAAGCTCCTTCGTTCAAGGCGCAAACCCACATTATTCAGGTCTAGTTCACCTCGGACAACGGGTTCGTCGTTTTCATGGGGTCCTCCAGCGGGACAGTGCTATGCTCCTCGAGGGTTCCGGAAACACAGAATACGTTTCGCGCCTGCAAGTGCCACAAGAATCTTTCCTGCAGCTTCAGTCAGACAGTGAGGAGTCCGATTCGGAATACTCCAAAGAATTAGGGGGATCCTCAGCATCTTCAGGGGACTCCCATACAGACAAACATCGAGGACCAACACGCCCTGGTTCAGAAGCAAGAAGCGCCCATGAGGAAGATAAGGAAGCCCCAACGGCATCTAAGAAGGAGAGAGGAACAGACGCTGCAGAAGATTCTAAATGGTCGGCAACAGAGGAAGAAGGAAGCCAAGCAAGTAGTGAGGAGCATGCTCCTCACAGTGCCAAGATGGCAGCCAACAAAGACCATGCAGAAGGCGAAGGAGGCATCTCTGAAACAGCCACTCACAAAGAAGAAGAGCAAGGGGAAACCTCCGGTGAACTTGGCCATGGAGACAAAACGATCATCTCAGACGCAAAGGCAAAATCACATGAGCCTCTCCGTCAGGCAGAGGGGATCAGCGAGCACGAGGGGGCCAAGCTACACGAACCTGCCCATGAGGAGGAAGGGATCAGCGAACACGAGGGAGCGAAGCCAGACGAACCTGTCCACAAGACAGAAGGGACCAGCGAGCGCGAGAAGGCAAAGCAACACGTACCTGGCCATAAGGCAGAAGGAGGCACGGAACACCAGAAGGAAAAACCACACGAACCTGGTCATAATGTAGGAGTCCGAACACAGGAGGTCAAGGCAAAAGCTCACATGCATGGCGCTGGGCAAGCCAAGCTCAGCCAAGAGGAGGAGGTTGACTCCCTGATCAGTCGACTTCTTCCCTTACTCAGAGCCGCAAAAGGCAAAGATCTTTACGAAAGGCTGGTGACGATACTCGACTTGCATGGTAATTTTTCTAGCAGAGAAAACGTTTTTGCTCCGCAATAATGAGAATGAAAGTCGTAATTCCCCCGCAGTTCTTGCCCAAACGCACAGCTGTTCCTAATGGGTAGTTGTTGGGGTTTCGAGCGTGCCCGCAGTGCAACCAGTGCGCGATTTGCCTGCTCTCCCAGCAGGTTCATGCAATCTGCTTTTCTGGAGTCGATTGTACTTTTTACGGGGTTAACTGGAGGGGTGCTGCAGTTCTGCTTTCGTCCTTTTTTTCTGCATTTAGAAAGGACCGTAGAGGCGGAGAAGGAACTCAAATCAGAAGCCAAGAAAGAGGAGGCTCAAGAAGAGGCTCTGAAGGAAAAGGCCGTCTCCAACGTTGCTGCTCAGGAGGTAAGGGCATCGCTCCCACTATGTGTCGCATAAGAATATCTATACGATGGAGATGCGCAACTCCAGTTTTATATGCGAGTCACTTGTTGCAGAGATGTTGAACTTAGTGTGGAAACGGTGCGCTACCCTTTGTTTCCAGGACCTGCTGTTGACCCAACAATTGAGTAATATGTGGGTACTGCCTTTTTACGAAGAAGGCAAGCGCGAGACGTGCCTATCTGGATTTGAAGGACTTGCTCACGAAGTAAGTTACTACGCAGTCGAAGCTCTCTTAAAGGAACAAGCGCCATAGCTTTCAACGACGGCAACTATTTTTGTTACCAGTCAAGCAAATTTTACTCGCGTTATGCATTGAAGTGTATTTGCGTTTTAGGCAACGATTACTTGCTCCGACCCCGAATGTTTTAAGCTTGAAACCCAAGCACAGCAATGCCACTACATGTCAGTTGGGTCCATTATGCGCAAAGAGGATTTCGACACTAAAGCTGGACAGCCAAAAGGCGAGCAAAAACCTCATCCACAAGCAGCACAGGGCCACATGCTTCTGGGATTCGATGGACAATGCCGACAACCGGAAACTCTTGGTTCCGAAATACTCAACATGCTGCAGGTGGGAAGCAGATCGACGATTCCATGTGCAGATAACTTTGGATTCAGAGGCCTGTCGCATTGAACGCAACACGATCACAGCATGTTACAGTCAGCTCCCAAACAGGCCCAATAATCTAGCGTTCTGTAAAGTACCGAGTGCGGCTTTTCCAGTAGCAGGTTGCTTAAGACCGAGAATGCAAGTTTTTTCTGTCTGCCTGTGGCACAGCATCCAAGGCAATTGGCCAAACAGCACGCCTTGGAGCGCTCAACAGGCAGCGGAGGAACTGTGCCTCTCCAGAAGCATCATTTAGATGTTATCTGTGATACCGAAGAAAAATCGGAATGTACGCCAGCATCGATGTGTCTCGATGGCGTCCTTACTCACTCGCATATGTAGTTGAAAGAAGCAATCCTGTGGAGACGTTCTTCCGAGTTACATTTTTTCTTTGCTGGTTTCTCAGATCCATCGTGCAAGACTGTGTACGAGGCCCTCCAACACGTCAAAGAACCGAAACCCAGGGTACGTGCAGTATCACATATTGCTGTACACCAGCCAGCCCAACTGGAACCTGGAAGCATGTATGCATCCTCACAAACTCACTGGTTCTATTATTGTTCTGCAGGCCCTACCAGAACTGTTGGTCTTGACGGATATTCAAGACCTGAAAAACACATTGGGTTTGTACAGAATCGCATTTCTCTTCGAAGGACTTGTTCAATTCGCCACTCCAGACGGAACAAAAGTCGACGCGTCCCAACATAAGCTGCCTAAGGAGGAGGCAGAATTCATGCGCAAGCACAGGCATGATGACATATCAACTACAGCATTGCTAAAAGCAGAATGAATGCTGAATGCGCAGCAGCAATGTGAGCTGGGAAGCAGAATCCGGCCAAATTGTTCGGTCTTCCCCATGAATTCAGATTTAGCACATCAATGTTTTTTGCCGTCGGGCATCGTGGGGGTGCGGTAAATTTCGCCGTACCGTAAGGAAATACACGAAATCCATGGTATTCCATTTTTCCGTTCACGTGGATGGATTGTTTTATTCCACAACAACTGATTTATTTCCGTCGTGCAGTGCGCAACACCCACTAATAGAAACTCAGCTCTTAGATGACATTGTTGAAAGCTAGCATCTGTAAAATGGGCTGACGCAGTCTTCAGCTGGGCTGGACTTCTGAGCCCCTCCTTCATGTTGCAGCTGCTTGTGGAAGGACGGAAGCGCAAGGCTGCAGAAGAGGGAACACATATGCTTTTATGCTAGCCAATATTCGTAAGCTAGCTTAAGTGTTCCTGCTTGGTCTCAGTGCAAAGCACTACTTACAGCAAGCAAAGCTAGCTCGTTTACGTCGCACGGCATCCCCTCATCCAGCCAGCACAGGAAGTCACCGGGAAGACAAGCGTATGTTGTAACAGTAAACTCCTCCCCATGAAATTAAAGGTTATGAAGGCAGCCTGCACTCCAAACAATATGGGCCACCGAGCGGAGCCTCCCCATTATGTAACGTAGCAGCTTAGCAGTATCACGAAGACCCACTACGTCTTGCCCGTCGAAACAGCCACGATTAAGCGCATGTTTTGCCTTGATGTTGGATAATTTAGGAGGGTCTCTGCTGTCGAAGCTTTCCTCATAAGGTTTGTTGGTGTAGCAAACTGTCGGACGCTGGTGCATGCATTTCTACCGGCGTGTAACTGAAGGCCTAAAATGTATTTAACGGTTGCTTGCAGTGTTCGTGCATGCATGAAAAGGGTATTCTGCTGTGCGTGCACCAGGGGTAGCCTTGCAGCACGAGCTGCATCAAGGAGTGCTCCATCTCATGACAGGCAGCTCTCCCAATGCACCAGCCCCAGGCCGTTGCACCTTTGTGCTACTGCCTCCGGGTGAGTGGGAGGACAGCTGATTTTGGGAACTGAATTACTTTTTGACATCATCACAATTCGCAACTATCCTCGGCTACGATAGAAGACACTCGTTACACTTGGGAACACCGCATTGCTAAGAGGCGGCAGGGCCGAGCTGGGAACACCATACTATAGCTAAAATGCCCCAACGAACTGAGGCATTCCGGCTTTCGAACCATGGAGATTGGTCAGGATTTGACCCCAGCGGGGAAGGGGACAAAACTCTTGCCACACCAACGCGTTCGAAAGAACATCACCCGTCGCAGCTCCAGCCGAACGCTTCTGCCGCAAAAAGCGATCCACCAAGAATGCCTCTACATGTGCCGACGGTTCAAATATAGCGGGCGTCGCGAGGCGGGGGCAGTCGAGGAGTTCTTAGCTTAGCTGGAGGCGTGCTTTTGTCTTTTTAATGCACTAAAAGAGCTACACTTGCTATTGGCACCTTGTAGATTAGAGGTGGAGGCATGACTGTTCTCTAGCGAAGGCGCATTTACGCACCATATCCAGTCTATGGAAAGATTTCGCAAATCATTGCGATGTAGGCTCGTTCCCAAGGTAACAAGGGAACATACTGACACACACGCACTAACACAATTAAATAAGGGAAGTTACCAATGAGAGGCAACACCGAAATGTATCAGTCCCTGGTAAACAGGAATTCCATGGTGGATTGGGCACTTCTCTACTAGTGGCTCATGCCATTGGTCTTTCCCAGATACATGCAGCAACCAAGGTAGCCGTGAGAGGGAATCCAGAGGAGAAAAAATGGGGCAAGCCGAAGTGATTGAGCACTTATCTACGCGTCAGTGGAGGCCCCTTCGACAGTCCTGGCGAAAAAGAAGGAAAAAGACCCCGGAAATGATCTAGCTGCAGAGCCTACGGATACTTGCAGCCCCTCCCAGAAAAATATGAGCAACGACAACAGACTGTAGCCGGCAAATTCTGCAGTCAGAGAGCATGAAAAAACGTGCAGACAGGCGCACCATCTTCTTTTGCTATTAACCATGTCACAAGAATCGATGCTGTAGGCACCTGTAGAGTGCTACGGAAGTGGATAAGCAAAAATGTGGAAGGCGTCCCCATGGGAGCCACACAGAACATACACATAGGAAACATTCCCTGGCTGCTCATGCAAACGATAGTCATGGGGCAAAAAAGGGATGATAGCCTTTTCTTCCTCGAGTCAACTCTGTGCATATCCAATTGCTTGCTAAGGTGCAGGACTGGCTCGATTGATTTCACGCAGGTTCCAAACTATATCTGATAACACGAGTTTCGTCAAGAAAGTGCAACCTACTTGTCTATTCGTCGACGCACTCTCTGCGACGTTGCTTCGCGGACGGCAAACAGGATTCAAGTTTTGGCAAAAGTATGGGCGTAAAATGCGAACTCAATTCAGAAATGCGTCAAACTACCACGATAAGGGAGCTTAACATGACAGAGGCGCTGTATAAAACGACAGAGAAATTCATGTGTTTCGTCGTGATGGTCTTACTATGACCGCAGTTTTGGGGGACTCTATCCAGTGAACATCCGTAAACGTTTAGCCTAGATGCTGTTACCTGCGTGCAGTTGCATGATTTCCTCGGGCATTCGGGCGAACGGTTGAACCCGTTTGCCATGCGCTGGATAGGGTTTTTTCTGATATCCGTTCTAGGGACAATGCATTGGTTACAGTGTAAAGTTGTTCCAATTGGGGAGATGTCATCTTATCACGTACTCCACTTTTCTAAAGTGACTCAGCGAATCGGCGCACTATAAAGCACCAGCAGTGCCATTGAGGGACGGACCACACGGAGGTCTGTGAGACTCTGAGCCTAAGAGGAGATGCAACGAGTTTAATAGGCGAAGAAACAATCCTATGACGCTAAGTGGCTAGGAGACAGGCAACTCGAGCAGCACTGACACACAATTTTCCCACAAAGTTGTGCTGCGCTCTCCTTAATACAGCGTGGGCTCTTCCACGCTTGCCCATGGAGGGCGCAGCTTAATCCCCGTATTTACAACATCTCTATGCAGTTGGTCGGCTATTCAGGCAACGACGCTGTCACGCTTTGCGTATTTCGGTGCTGCGCTGCGAACAGGGCTCGAGCGGGTCTTCTCATGAGTTGTTCCACAACGTTTTGCGTCAAAGAATGCCTATATTGTATTTTTGCATAGGCTGCGACACCGGCAGTAACGCGCGGTTTCCTACCCACGCAGATTGATAGCAAGCAGTGGAGTAAGCAATAAAGTAGGCCTGCGCCACCTACATGAGGTCAGCGGCAGCAGCATCATCAGCAGTCGTAATCTCATTTGCCTTTCATTTAGCGAGCTCGTGCTGTGTTGAGGCAGCCAACCCATCACTGGCGTCTTCTTGGCCGACCTGGCACGCGGTCGGGCACAAGAAGAGGTGCCCTGTTTAGGGAGTGAGGGTGGGTAGACACGCAGGGCCTGCCGCATTTACGTACGTACATTCACGGCTTACCGCTTGTTGGGTACTGGAAGCCCATTAATAGCTCAATAATTAATGAAGGTGTCCGTGCATGCAAATTTGGTTTGGGCGCGCTTGCGTGTGAAGTTACCTTCTGTTGCAGGAGCTAAAGCAGAGACTACTCCAACTCGTAAACGGTCTTCTTCGAAACTTGTTCCTCGATTGCGCTGGAGCCTGTTCTACCTTTTTACTACGGATAAATAACCAAAAATTCAACTAGAGGTCTCACTGGCAAAATTCATTAGCAAATTGGTTCGGGATGCTACTTTGCTAGTTGATAGATATATTTCGTGTGCCTGTGCGCAGTCTCCATCCGATGGGGGATAGCTGCAGATAAGTTTGAAGCCCAATATTTCACCTCATGCTGCTTTTCATTATTGCTCAAAATTATCAGGGGAACACTACGTACCTATGAGCAGTTTCCAGACCACAGACATCACTGGCGCCTAGGACCATCGTTATTGTTGTATCCCGGTCGTTCTTGTTTGTATGGGCCGGTCCCGAGATAGGTTCACCACACATGGTCCCCTTCTTCATCAGAGCTCTACTGAAGCAAATCACGGAAATGCTTTCTGAGGACAGTGCTTTTGGAGAATTTGTGGATGAATCCATTTCCTGTGCGCTTACACGCGATCAATGCCCTGCTGCCGCGCGATCGTGCCTGCGAGTTTGCCGAAGCCAGCTGCCGATCTGAAGGCAGTAAAAACCACTATTATTTTGCAAAATAAAGACAGTGATGCTGTTCACCATGGGGTAAGTCCATTACTGTCCCCCCATTGGGAACTCTCCTTGGCTGGTGACGAACTGCCGGTTGGGACTGCTACCACGCCAGAGGCAGCGACTGGCGAGCCGACACCAGAAAGGTTTATTTTGTTGTATTTTTGAAGGATTTCGGGGTATGCTTTGCAGTAAACTACAGTTGTTTATGATCTACCTCGCAGCTGAGCTTTTTGGCCCTTCCTATTTAGGGACAGCCGCGCGAGTCCGACGAATCGACACGGACGGTAGCCTCTCGATGCGCAAGTGGTCCAGGCTTCTATTGCTGGGTATTTGGTGTTGTATTACGGTAAGAGTCTAAGGAGATGAGCCAGAAAAATGTATTGAAGAAGCTCTGAAGCCAGCCTGTGCACCTGGAGCCTTCAGCCGTAGGCAGGTAGAGGTAGTGAGTTCCTGTACGCGCACACCTCCCGCACAATGAAAGCAACCGCTCCTGTACTTCGAGTGCATTCTCCTTCTATTTTGAAGTGGAGATCAACCACAGTGTTCCCCGCATTCAACAAAAGTACAGCTGGGTTTGCCCCGTTCGGGAGCCTTTTGTGATGCATCCATACCATAGCCACGGGAGTATGGCGCATCGTGCTGACGTAGCTACAGCATTTCGTCCTCCGTGGGCAGCAACTTGGGCCGCCACTGTCTTTCTTCTGCACTGAATGATTCGCTCAAGAGGGTTGTTTTGCCTGAGTGAATGCATGACCTACGTTGATTCTCTGCTGTTCGTTGCAGGCCCTGCACCTGTCTAAGGAGGCAAGGCCAGCTGAGGTGTGTGCAACTAGAAACCGTCTCTTCTGCTCGTCCATTACTCTACTCTTTCGCCATGATCGGTGGGTGATCTTCAGTTTGACATTGTGTCCAGTAGTCCTTGTAGCCCAGTGATTGTAGCAGTCTGTTCAGGTACAGGAGTGTAGGTAGAAAACCACGTTCAGGAAGTGCACTGATTACAAGAAGGGAGACAAGAAAGAGCACATAGCTGCCTCCAGATGAGGGGACAGACTCTGCCATGTTTTGGTGGAGGCACGCTGGAGGGCTCACCTCCGAGAGTCCTACGGGTGGATGCCCACCCAAAGGAGATTCTTTGTCGTCTCGCGTTCCTCCGCATTTGCCAACTGATGTGGAGGAAGGGCAGTCGGCAGCTTGCGGAAGCCGAATTCTGGGAAATGTACGGGAAAGGAGAAAAGGAGGGCTAGATGCCTTTCATGGGGCGCATCGTCGCGTAGCAGGGTGGGAGCCTCCGGGAGCCTCAGTGCGCCGATGCCTGACGAGCAGCCCGACGAGAGGGAGGAGTCGGTTGCAAACCCGCTCTTCCTCTCTGTATTCTTCAGATCTTCGGAAGTTTTGCCAGAAAGGAATAGATATTGTCAACCGCACCGGTTCTCGGTCTCCTACATCGGGTAGCGATTGGCTGTCCCTGAGAAGCGAGGAATATTTTAGCGCCTGCAGCGACTCACTAAATTCTCCAACAGCCTCAGACGGGAAGGAGATGTCCTTTGCCACGAGGACGGCAAGTTCTCAGTCTGACGCCGGCAACTCTATTGAACCGCTTCACCGTCGGTCACTTTCTAACCGCTCTTGCCTACACACGACTTCAACTAGAGTTGTGTGGGGCAGGGCAGATAGACTACGATCTGCTCCTGATGGCCGCGCCGGAGCATCATTCAGAACCGCACTTGTCCCCGCCAGGTCCTTCTCTCTTCCGTTGCTCGGTCCCCCTGTCTTAAAAGCAACACCTTCTGGGGCCCCGTCGGCGTCTTTCAGGTGCATCTCTAGTAGTCCTTTCGATTTTGGAGAAGGGGAAGAAGAGTCGAAGCCATTGCACGAGCAGGTGAAGGCCCTTGCAGCTCCGGCTTTCTTGGACACTCACAGAGGCGCTACGAACAGTCGTCCGACTCCCTATCCTCTGCACGAAGCGTCGCAGCGCATTAGCAGAGAGGAGGTCTCGAGGCTGGGCGAGTATCGAAAGCCTGGGGTCCATATCGGGAGCTTCCCTCACTACGGACTTTGCGTGGCTCCGGAGACTGGTGATGCTGATGAACGGGGGGGATCTTGGTCTCCCAGTGAGTTTGAAGCATTTCCAGAGGGGCTGGGTAGGCTGAGTCTTATCGCAAATCTCGCCACATCGGATGGCCCAGCGGAGACTCGAGATTTGCCCTCATTGAGGCTGTTTTCAAACGGTTGCTACAGAAAGGCTACTGAAGCCAATCGGGTAGGCGAACTCCAAGCAGGAAAGCGCACCAGCGGTGGGATCCGTCGATCAGCGAGCTTCCGCACACCAGCAACTGACGTATTCGGGTCGACACGTTGTGACAGAAGGAGCAGGAGCTGGACGGCTCTCAATACCAGGAGCTCTTCCTATCGATTACTGCCTGCTTTCAACTCATCTGAGCAACTTCCTTTTTTGCTAGCGAATGCAGCATCTTCAGTGCGTCGTAATTCCCAGACAGCTATCGGGGGAAGTAGCGACTGCCGAACGTACAAGGAAGATTCGAAGTCTTTCGCCAGCATCGGTGAGCTGCCTGCAAATGGAGCGGGAGATGTCGACGGGAGGCGTAGATTTGAGGCTACTCGCGAGGAAGAAGTTGGCAGCAAACAGGAAAAGGCGGAGGCCCTCCGTATTGCAGAGGCTGAACTGGAGACGCGCTCAGTGCGTCAAGGGGGAATACACGACGCTGACACGTTACAGCTTCTCGAGCGTGGCTCTTGCGGGGCAGGAACGGGCCCTTGTGCTGATGGTTTGCAGGCGAGCAGCCTTTCACACCCTGATGTTCATATGGAGAGCTCCAACACTGTAGCCGAATGTGTAGGGGCATTTGCGTCTGCGCTTAGCAATGGAGATGCTTCTGGCGTGAGCGCAGCTGTTGCGGTGGCCTCGCAGCAACAAAATGCAGACCTGGCCAGGGAAACAGTCAGTGGCACAAATCATGCAGGGAAAGAACTGCAGGCACCAGCTGTCGTGCGTCATACGGAGTGTGGCGAAGTACCAAGAGGTGGACTCACGACTCAACAACCCCTGCAGCGTCCATTTGTAGATATGGCAGCCCTGTTTCCAATAGGGCTTCTTCCCAAACAGCGACAGCGAGATGCAGTCATTGCATGCAACCATCCGTTAGGGGACCAAAAGGAACATAAAGCCCACGGCTCGCCTCCACTCCAGGCAACACGATTCTCTTGTGCCGTGGGTCTATCTACAGAGGAGGCAAACGCGCCCACGAGCGAGGTGCTGTTCGGCAGCGCGGGTAGAGGCTCTTGTGGGGATGCCCAGGAGAACCAGGCTAGACAGCGCATGCTAGCAAGTGCAGACGAGCCTGCTGCATCGATTGACAGTAGTTTGAGTCCGGGTCTTGACACTGCGCAAGTCAACATAAGCTTCCACGATGCTTGGCCTGTGGCTATTGGGGAGGCCGAAGAGCCGAAGCGTAGGACGTCACGCGCCAGCGAGGGTGGCATGAATTGCAGGAATAGGCAGGAACCTCAGACAAGGCAGTGGTCCTTGCCAGCCAGTGTGGAGGGGGCAGCTCCTTTGCATTGGAGCAATTTGGGTTTCTTGCAGGAGGCTACGGCGCCGGATGACAGATTCCAGGATGCGGTAAACGGGTCTCCTGGGAAGGCTGAAGAGCCGCAGCGTGAGCTGTCGCGCGCTAGCGAGGGTGGCAAGGGTCGCGGAAATCCGCAGAAGCCCCAGACAAGGCAGTGGTCTTTGCCAGCCAGTGCGGGGGGGGCAGTATCATTACCTTGTAGCAGTTTGGGTCTTTTAGAGGAGGCTGGGACCGCGGACGAAAGCTTGCAGGATATGATGAAGGGGGCTGTTGGGGAGGCGGAAGTGCGGGACCGTGAGGTGTTGCGCGGCAGCGAGGGCGGAAACGTTGGCGAGGACACGCAGAACCTCCAGACAAGGCAGGAGTCTCTGGCAGCCCTTTTGGCGGGGGCAGGTCCATTACCTTGTAGCAGTTTGGGTTTCTCGCGGGAGATTGGAGAGGCGGACGAAAGTTTCCACAACGCCTCAGGCGTGGCTGTTGGGGAGGCCGAAGAACCGAAGCGTGAGGCGTCGCGCGCCAGCGAGGGTGGTAGGCGTCGCAGGAATACGCAAGAGCCCCAGACAAGGCAGCGGTCTTTGCCAGTCAGTGTGAAGAAGGCGGTTTCTCCAACTTGGAGCAGTTTAGGCTTTGCGCGGGAGGCTACGGCACAGAGCGACGGATTCCACGATGCGATAGACGGGTTTGTGGGGGAGGCCGGAGAGCCGAAACGTTGGGCTTCGCATGGCAACGAGAGTGGAAGCGGTTGCGGAAGTCCGCAGACAGTCCGGACAAGGCAAGGATCTTTGCTAGCCAGTGTGGAGGGGGCCGGTGCAATACCGTATAGCAGTTTGGGTTTCTTGCAGGAGGCTGCGACCCCGGACGAAGGCTTCCAGGATGCGATAAACGGGTCTCCTGGGGAGGCTGAAGAGCCGCAGCGTGGGCTGTCGCGCGCTAGCGAGGGTGGCAAGGGCCGCGGGAATCTGCAGAAGCCCCAGACAAGGCAGTGGTCTTTGCCAGCCAGTGTGGTGGGGGCAGTATCATTACCTTGTAGCAGTTTGGGTCTTTCAGAGAAGGCTGAGGTGGCGGACGAAAGCTTGCAGGATGCGAAAAATGGGGCTGTTGGGGAGGCGGAAGTGCGGGACCATGAGGCTTTGCGGGGCAGGCGGCACAGAAGCGGTGGTTTGGATACGCAGGAGCCCCAGCCAAAGCAGGGGACTTTCCTAGCCATTGCGGAGAGGACAGTATCATTGCCATGCAGCAGTTTGGGTTTCCCGCGGGAGACTGGGTTGGCGGATGCAAGCTTCGAGGATGCAATTGGCGGGGTTTTTGTCGAGGACCGAGAGCGGGAGCATGAGGCCTTTCGTAGCAGCGAGGGCGGAAACGTTGACGGGGATACGCAAAAGCCCCAGAAAAGGCAGGGGTCTTTGCCAACCCTTTTGGCGGGGGCAGGTTTATTACCTTGTAGCCGGATGGGTCTGGCAGGGGAGGCTTGGGCGGCGGACGAAGGCTTCCAGGATGCGATAAACGGGGCGGTTGGAGAGGCCGAAGAGCGGGACCGTGAGGCGTTGCGTAGCAGCGAGGGCGGTGACGTTGGCAAGGATGCGCAAGACCTGCAGGAAAGGCAGGAGTCTCTGCCAGCCGTTTTGGCGGGGGCGGGATCGTTGCCTTGTAGCAGCTTAGGTTT